TAGGTGTTGGTGTGGGATAGAGAGCGAGCTGGTGTGGGGCACAGAAGAGATGTGGGATGTGGGACATGGGATGTGGATATGAGGGGTTGAAGGGGGATATGGGGAGCTATGGGGTGCACAGGATGGCTATGGGGCACACGGGGATCTATGGGGCACAGGAATCTCTGGGGGCTATGGGGCACAGGGGGGCTATGTGGCACACGGGGTTTCTCTGGGGTGCGGGGATGTGTGGGATACATGCGGGGTTATGGGGCACAGACTATCTAAGAAGCACCAAGAGGAACTGTTAGGCACAGAGATCTATGGGGGCACAGGGATCTATGGGGCACCCAGGGGGCCTATGTGGAACACAGCAGAGCTATGGGACACACGGGATCGTCTATGTGGCAAAGGGATCTATGGGGCATAAATGGGTCTATGGAGCAAAGAGTGTCTATAGGGGCTATGGGGTTCAGGGATCTATGGAGTGCAGCCCCTCACCCTCTGCATGTCCCTCCAGCTCCTTTCATCGTACCTGCTAGATCCACGGACTCCAGGTGAGGGTGGTGTCCTGGCACAGTATGGGGATTGGTGCTTTGGGGGGGTGTTGCTATAGGGTGCATGTGTCCCTATAGGGTCTGTGCATCACTGCAGGGGGTCCATGCATTGCTATGGGGTTCTGCATGGGGGGCTGTGCATGACTGTAGAGCTCCCTGTATTTTTATAGGGGTCCCTGCACTGCTATGTGTCTCCGTGCATCACCATAGGGATCCCTGAATCACTACAGGGCTCTGTGTGTGGCTATAGGAGTCTGTGCCTTGCTATGGGTGTCCGTGCATCAACACAGGGGTCGGTGGGTGGCTGTGGAGATCCCTGCATCACTATAGGAGTCTGTACATGTGAGGTGCATGGGTACTGGGGTCCTTGCATGACTGTAGGGGTCTGCCCATAGCTATAGGGGGTCTGTGCACTGCCATAGGGATCAATACGTGGGGAGATGCACGGCTACAGGGCTCTGTGCATGGGGCCATACACCACTATGATGGTCTGTACTTTGCTATTGGGGTCCCTGCATGGCTATAGGGGTTCCTGAATTACTACAGTGGTCTGTGCATGGGGCAGTGTGTGACTATATGGGTCTGCAGTGGGCTACATGGCTCGCTGCACATCTGTAGGGTCCAACACATGGGGCTGTGCACAGCCATAGGGCTTTGTGCCTGGCTATAGTGTCTGCCACAGCTATAGAGGTCTGGGCACAGGTATGGGAGTCCATGCATGGCAATGGGGCTGTGGTCGATGGGGTTGTGCGGGGCCATGGGGTGAGGGGTGAGACCCCGCAGCCAGAGTCCCACAGCCCCTCAGGTGATGTGAAGCCCCTGTCTGTGTGGGGCAGGATGGGAGATGCAGTGCTGGCGGCATTGGGGGCGGCAGCTCCCTTCCTGCGGCCAGGGGAGCGGGAGCGGCTGGCATCGCAGACCAGGCCCTTCGACCCTCGCAGCGAGTGCTTCGTCCCCCACCCCCGTGAGGAGTTTGTGCGGGGGCGGGTGATGGGGCGCCAAGGCGGGGAGGTCACCGTCCAGACCGAGCTGGGAGAGGTGGGCAACTGAAAGGGTAGAGGAGGGTGAGGGCAGGGGGGCAAGGGGTCACAGGGAACAAAGGGTTAATCGGGGTGAGGGGACAATGAAGTTAAGGATGGGAGGGTTTGATGGGGGTGCAGGCATGAGGGGTGATTGGTGGTGGGGGATGAAAGGGGGTTGGGCTTCATGGAGGGTGAGGGGTTGGTGGGAAGCTGGGGGGCGAAGGGTTAAGGAGGGAGGGGTTAATGGGGTGAAGTTAATGGGGAATGGGTTAAAGGAGGGAGGGAGGTTGAAGGTTTTTGGGGGTGTAAAGCGAGGAGGGGGAGACTAGGCCCACTGAAGACCTTCCAACTCATGAGAGGTGCCCCAAAACCCATAGAAGATTCCCCCACAACCCATGGAGGACCCCTCACCCACAGAGCACCCCCAACCTACAGGGTGCCCCCCAAACCATGGGACATCCCACAACTCTGACGCCCTTGTCCTCCCATCCCCCCTAGACGATGACGGTCAAGGAGGCCGACGTCCACCAGCAGAATCCTCCCAAGTTCGACAAGATCGAGGACATGGCCATGCTGACCTTCCTCCATGAGCCTGCTGTCCTCTACAACCTCAAGGAGCGCTACGCCTCTTGGTTGATCTATGTGAGTCCTCCCACAGGCACTTGGGGCACCTGGGAACTGGGCATGGTCTTCCTCACAGCCTAAGGTGTGGATGGAAGCTAGTGACCCTTCCCTAAAACTCTTGGGGTACCTAGAACCAGGTGGGCTTTCCAGAGAGCCTATGGGCCACCTAGAACCTGGTGGTGTAGCTTCTCCATGCACTTTGGGACACCAAGAACCTGGTGAACCTTCTCCAGCCCCCTTGGGCCACCCAGACCCAGATGTTGCACTCCTGAACCATTTTGGCCACCTAGACCTGAGATGTCCCAACCCCTAACCTAGATCCAAGATATCCCTTCAATAGCCCCCTTGATGCGACACACAAGATGCCCCACCCCTGGATCCTCTGGTCCACACAAGATGTCCCATCTCTGGATATTGTGGGCCACCCAGACCCAAGATGTCCCATCTCCATCCCCTTTTGGCCCCCCAAAATCATGATGCCCCTTCCCCACATCCCTTGGGCCACCTAGACCTAGGATGTCCCCATCTGGTGGGGTGGCACCTCCAGGCTCTGACCCACCTGACCCTTTCTCCAGACCTACTCAGGACTCTTCTGCGTGACGGTCAACCCCTACAAGTGGTTGCCTGTTTACAACGCTGAGGTGGTGGCTGCCTATCGGGGAAAGAAGAGGAGTGAAGCTCCACCCCACATCTTCTCCATCTCTGACAATGCCTACCAAAACATGCTGACAGGTAGGGACCTCCTCTGGGGACCTCAAACTAGAAGACCCCACCCCAAACACTGGATCCTGACCTAGACCTCACCCTCACCTTGGAGGATGGAGAACCTCAATCCCAACCCCAAGACCCCAAAGATGCCTCCCAAATTCTTCCCACCTGACTCCTTTCATCTCTTGGCAGATCGAGAGAACCAGTCCATCCTCATCACGTAAGTCTGTCCCCGCCTGATGCTGCCCCATAGTGCTGGGGTGTGATAAAGGAGCCACCATGATATTCTCCAACATCTCACTGTTGCCACCCTAGTGGAGAATCTGGGGCGGGGAAAACAGTCAACACCAAGAGGGTCATCCAGTACTTTGCCAGCATTGCTGCCATCGGTGACCGCAAGAAGGAGGCAACCAACAGCAGCAAGGTGGGGCCTCAGGTCACGCACCCCCAGCATTGAGTGTCCCCCAATGGCATGCACACCCAGGATTGTTCCATCCCACCAGGGCACCCTGGAGGACCAGATCATCCAGGCCAACCCTGCCTTGGAGGCCTTTGGCAATGCCAAGACCCTCCGCAATGACAACTCATCTCGATTCGTGAGTGTTGGGGGTGGGATCTATGGGGCAAAGTCTGTGGGATGGGGTCTATAGTGTGGGGTCTGCTGGGAGGCTTCCACCTCCTGCCACTGTTTTTCCAGGGGAAGTTCATCCGAATCCATTTTGGGGCCACCGGGAAGTTGGCATCAGCTGACATTGAGACCTGTGAGTGGGTTGAGAGGCTCCATGAAAGAACGTCTGGCAGTCCTTCATCCATCCCTCCATGGACTCATCTATTCATGGATTTATTCACCCATGCTAGGACTTATCCATCTATGGACTCATCCATCCATCCATGAACTCCATCTGTCCATCCATCCATCCCTCACTCCATCCAGTCAGCTCTCTATCTCCAACTCTTCAACCCACCATCCATCGGATCCTCTGTCTCCCATTTTTTTGTCCTTCCATCTTGTGTCTCCCTCTCTCCTTCCTTCCCTCCCTCTCCACATGTCCCTTGATGGATGCCCTCTCTTGATGGATTCGTGAGACATTGTCCTGTTGTCCATCCATCCATCTATCTTCTCATCCCACCATCCATCTGACCTTTCACCTCCACCTCCTTATCCCTCTGTCTCCTCATCCTACCATCCAGCCATCCCTTCTTCTCCATCTCCTCATTCTACCACCCATCTCTCCATGTCTCCATGCATCTCTCCATGTCTCAATCCATCATCTCCTAATCCCAACCTCTACCATCTTTCTCTCCATTCCCACCCCAGATCTCCTGGAAAAGTCCCGTGTAATTTTCCAGCTGAAGGCTGAGAGGAACTACCACATCTTCTACCAGATCCTCTCCAACAAGAAGCCAGAGTTGCTGGGTGAGTTGGGTGCTTGGCCTTGGGTCTTCTCCTTCCTCCCCTCCTAAATTTCTCTGCTCCTTCTTGGGGCAATTGAGGGTGATTTGGGGCTGTTTGGCCACTGGAAGTGCTCAATTTTTTGTCTCCATCCTGGGCCACCACGGAGCAGAGATGCTTCTCATCACCAACAACCCCTATGACTACAGTTACGTCTCCCAAGGAGAGGTGACTGTGGCCTCTATCGATGACTCTGAAGAGCTGTTGGCAACCGATGTAAGTGGTGGGGCGGGCAGGTGGACATCCCCTGGCTGAGGAGAAGGTGAAGTGCCAGATGGATGGTTGAGATGGTAGAAGAGGGATGGATGGAGGAGAGGAGGAATGTAGGAATAAGAGGTGGAGAATGGGAAGGGTGGAGGGCAAGGGAGATGGTGGGTTGGTCACATGGGATGATGCAGGATGAGGGACAGAAGGTAGGAGAGGAGAGTGGTGTGGGTGGAGGAAGTTGTGGGTGGAGATAAAAACAGGTGGGAGAGTCCTTGGGTGGACAGATGAGTCCACAGGTGGACAAGTCCTCAAATGGATGGATAAGTCCATGAATGGATGGATGGAATTCATGGTGGATGAATGAGTCCATGGATCGATGAGTCTGTGGATGGGTGGGTGGATGGATGGATGCAGTACTCAGATGGGTGGATGGATGAGTCCATGGATGGATGAGTCCTTGGATGGACAGATTGACAAGTTGGAAAGGCAGAGGGACACACAAATGCTGGCCAGCAGACGGCTGTGACCTCAGCTGGACAGAGTGGGTGGCAAGGCCCTCTCCAACCTGCCTCCACCCGCCTACCAGAGCGCTTTTGATGTCTTGGGCTTCACTGCCGAGGAGAAGGCTGGTGTCTACAAACTGACAGGTGCCATTATGCACTTTGGCAACATGAAGTTCAAGCAGAAGCAAAGGGAAGAGCAGGCAGAACCAGACGGCACTGAAGGTGAAGCAGGTGGGGGGGATGACATAGGTTTTGGGGTCACCAAGTGAGGTGGGACCTGACAGCATGTTTTCTTCACACTCTGCAGATGCTGACAAGTCAGCCTACCTGATGGGGCTGAACTCGGCTGATCTTCTCAAGGGGTTGTGTCACCCCCGTGTGAAGGTGGGCAATGAGTACGTCACCAAGGGGCAGAATGTCCAGCAGGTGTACTACTCCATCGGGGCTTTGGCCAAGGCTGTGTATGAGAAGATGTTCAACTGGATGGTGGTGAGGATCAACAACTCTCTGGACACCAAGCAGCCACGGCAGTACTTCATCGGTGTGCTGGACATTGCTGGCTTCGAGATTTTTGATGTGAGGACTGAGGGGGTGGCAGGGTAGTGGCATTGCTCCTCTTGGGGGTTGGGTTGATCCAACTGGGTGTTGAGCTGATCTTCTGAAGCTTCAGGGGGAACTCTGGTGGAGACTTACCCTCTTTGGGCCTTGTTTTGACCCTGCTGGGTGTTCAGTTGACTTCATTGATACTACTGGGCATTGTGTTGATCCTGTTGGGTCTCAGGTTGACCCACTAATCTCGGGTGTTCTATTGACCCTGTTGGTTGTTGAGCTGACCCAGCTGACCCAGTTGGCCATCTCCTCTCTCCTTCCCCAGTTCAACAGCTTTGAGCAGCTCTGCATTAACTTCACCAATGAGAAGTTGCAGCAGTTCTTCAACCACCACATGTTCGTGCTGGAGCAGGAGGAGTACAAGAAGGAGGGGATTGAGTGGGAGTTCATTGACTTCGGCATGGACCTCCAGGCCTGCATTGACCTCATTGAGAAGGTGCCACCTCCCCCCAGGGCTTCTGGGGCTGAAGGGGCTGCTGGGAAAGGGCCCTTCCAGTTGGAGCTTGCCAGGGACCCCAAAGTTGGGCAGTTGGGTTGTGCTTGGTGTTCACTATGACCAACAAGGTCTTCTCTTCCCAGCCCATGGGGATCATGTCCATCCTGGAGGAGGAATGCATGTTCCCCAAGGCTTCGGATATGACCTTCAAGGCCAAGCTCTTTGATAATCACTTGGGCAAGTCGGCCAACTTCGGGAAGCCACGCAATGTCAAAGGGAAGCCAGAGGCCCACTTCTCCCTCATCCACTACGCTGGCACGGTAGACTACAATATCATTGGATGGTTGGAGAAAAACAAGGACCCTCTCAATGAGACAGTGGTGGGGCTCTACCAGAAATCAGCCCTGAAGCTCTTGGCCAACCTCTTCTCCAACTATGCTGGGGCAGATGCTGGTGGGTGGATGGATGGTTGGGTGATGGAGGGATAGGTGGACAGAGAAGACTGTTGTCCATCAGAGTTACCCTGTTTCCTGTCTCTCCCCTTCTTCTCCCCAGGTGGTGATGGAGGGAAGGGGAAAGGAGCCAAGAAGAAAGGTTCCTCCTTTCAGACTGTCTCAGCCCTGCACCGGGTGAGGAATCTACATAGTGGGCCCAATGTGGGGCAACGCAAGGACAAGCTCCCACATGGTGGATCACCCCTCCAGCACTCCAGCTTCTCCCCTGCTCTCCCATTGGTCAGCCTCTTCTCTCCTCCCTTCTCACCAGGAGAACCTTAACAAGCTGATGGCCAACCTTAAGACCACCCACCCTCATTTTGTTCGCTGCATCATCCCCAATGAGCGGAAGGAACCAGGTGAACAAAGAGTGGGGCTGAGGGCAGGGAAAGGGGTGGGAGGTATGGCTTGTGGCTGACCTCACCTCTCTAACCCATCACCAGGTGTGATGGACAATCCCCTGGTAATGCACCAGCTCCGCTGTAACGGGGTGCTGGAAGGCATCCGCATCTGCCGCAAGGGCTTCCCAAACCGCATCCTCTATGGGGACTTCCGCCAGAGGTAGGCACAGAGGAGAAGATGTGGGGAGGGGATGGACAACCCCACTAGGGCTGATCTGAGGGTTTTCCTCTCCTCTCCGACCACCAGGTATCGCATCCTGAACCCCGCTGCCATCCCTGAGGGGCAGTTCATTGACAGCCGCAAGGGCGCTGAGAAGCTCCTGGGATCCATTGACATTGACCACAACCAGTATAAGTTTGGGCACACCAAGGTGAGATCTCATGGTCTTTCCATGGTTCCATGATCCATGAGGTCACATGGACCCATGGTCCCACCATCGATGTGTCTACCTGCCCATCCACCCCACCATCCATCCCTCTGTCCACTCATCAACTCATCAACCCATCCATCTGTCTACCATCTCTTCCACCAACCCTTCCCAACCAACCCACCCTCTCACTTGCCTCATTCCTCCACCAGGTCTTCTTCAAGGCTGGGCTGCTGGGCCTCCTGGAGGAGATGAGGGATGAGCGTCTCTCCCGCATCATCACCCGCATCCAGGCTCAGGCCCGAGGTCAGCTCATGCGCATTGAGTTCAAGAAGATCCTGGAGCGCCGGTGAGAGGGGAAGGGTCTCTCTCCTTGAGGAGGAAACTGGCAGGTCACCAGGCTTGTGGTGTGGTGGCATCGGTCTCCCCGTTCTAGGGACTCACTGCTGGTGATCCAGTGGAACATCAGGGCCTTCATGGGGGTGAAGAACTGGCCTTGGATGAAGCTCTACTTCAAGATCAAGCCCTTGTTGAAGAGTGCTGAAACAGAGAAGGAGATGCAGGTGGGAGGAGGTGGTGAGGCAGGCGGGTTGGGACCCAACATGCATTGGGTGGGGTTGATGGATGGAGGGGATTGGACATGCTATTGGTCTCCTGGGCTTTGTGCCTCCTTCAGAACATGAAGGAGGAGTTTGGGCGGCTGAAGGAGGCTCTGGAGAAGTCAGAGACCCGGCGGAAGGAGTTGGAGGAGAAGATGGTCTCCATGTTGCAGGAGAAGAATGACCTTCAGCTCCAAGTGCAGGCTGTGAGTGAGGCTGCCCCCCAAAACCATGTCAGGTGTGTGACCACCACCCTCCCATGGCCATTCTACTTCACCTGTCACTCCAATACAGGAGCAGGACAATCTCAATGATGCTGAGGAGCGTTGTGACCAGCTGATCAAGAACAAGATCCAGCTGGAGGCCAAGGTGAAGGAGCTGACAGAGCGACTGGAGGATGAGGAAGAGATGAATGCAGAACTGACAGCTAAAAAGAGGAAGCTGGAGGATGAGTGCTCAGAGCTGAAAAAGGACATTGATGATCTAGAGCTGACTCTGGCCAAGGTGGAGAAGGAGAAACATGCCACAGAAAACAAGGTAAGGTGGGGAGGGGCCTTGACTTCAAGCTGTGGGGATTTGAGTCAACTCAGCCTGGTTGTGTTCAGTTGAGGAGACCCAAGGCTAGTTGATCTGGGCTACATCAAGACTCAGTGTTCTTTGGGTTCTCCACCACTGAAGTGGTCTCATTAGCTAAGGACAACAGCAACGTCCCCCAGCTCTTATTTTACTCTTGGTACCAAGCTGGAGGCCTGATGTTTCTTCTGCAGGTCAAGAACCTCACAGAGGAGATGGCTGGGCTGGATGAGACCATTGCCAAGTTAACAAAAGAGAAGAAGGCACTGCAAGAATCTCACCAGCAAACACTTGATGACCTGCAGGCGGAGGAAGACAAGGTCAACACCTTGACGAAGGCCAAACTCAAGATGGAACAGCAAGTGGATGATGTGAGCGTGGGCTGCTCCCAACATGGGTACTGCTGAAGAGGTTACTGGGGAAGAGATGATGAAAAACTGAGGTCTCTCCCCAATTCCATGTTTCCACGCAGCTTGAAGGCTCCCTGGAACAGGAGAAAAAGATCCGGATGGACCTGGAACGCGCCAAAAGGAAGCTGGAAGGTGACTTGAAGCTGACCCAGGAGAACATCATGGACCTGGAGAATGACAAGCAGCAGCTGGAGGAGAAGCTCAAGAAGTAAGGCTGGACCTCCTTCCCCAGTTTAAACTGGTCAGGGGGAGAAGGCAACTGCTAACTGTCTTCATCTGCAGGAAAGAGTTTGAGATCAACCAGCAGAACAGCAAGGTTGAGGATGAGCAGGCACTGGCCCTGCAGCTCCAGAAGAAGCTGAAAGAGCTGCAGGTGAGGGATCTATTCTCTGCTTAGTTGCGTTGGGCTGGAGAGCCTCCAGCTGGTTGTGTTGAGGTGAAGAGTCTACATCTGGCTGGGTTGAGGTAAGGAGCTCCCAGCTGGTTGATCTGAGTTAAGTTGACAAGTCTCCAGCTGGTTGGGTTGAGTTGAAGACTTTTCAGCTTGTTGGGTTGAGTTGAGTTAAAGGCAATCCAGCTGGATTGGTTGAGTGGAGAAGCCAGGTGGAACCAAGTCCGCTGACAGCATGTCCATCCCCTGAGCACAGGCACGGATTGAGGAGCTGGAGGAGGAGCTGGAGGCAGAGCGAACGGGCAGGGCCAAGGTGGAGAAGCTGCGCTCAGACCTGTCACGGGAGTTGGAGGAGATCAGTGAGCGTCTGGAGGAGGCAGGTGGGGCCACGTCAGTGCAGATTGAGCTCAACAAGAAGCGGGAGGCAGAATTCCAGAAGATGCGGAGGGACCTGGAGGAGGCCACACTGCAGCATGAGGCCACGGCTGCTGCGCTGCGCAAGAAGCACGCCGACAGCGTGGCCGAGCTCAGCGAGCAGATCGACAACCTACAGCGTGTCAAGCAGAAGCTGGAGAAGGAGAAGAGTGAGCTCAAGCTGGAGCTGGATGACCTCAGCTCCAACATGGAGCAGCTGATCAAGGCCAAGGTAGAAGGAGGCCAAGGTAGACACCTCATCTCCACCCTGGGCATCATTCTCCTGCTTCATCACTCCCCTCCATCCTTTCCTTCTCCAAGGTGGGTATGGAGAAGGTCTCTCGCACCATGGAGGACCAGGCAGCTGAACACCGGGCCAAGCTGGAGGAGACCCAACGAGTCCTAAATGACACCAGCACCCAACGGGCTAAGCTCCAGACTGAGAATGGTGGGAACCCTGACCCACCACACCACCCATCCCACATTTTCAGCCCCTGACTCACATCTTCACTCCCTTCCACACACCTGAAAACCTCCCCTACCTCTGCAGGAGAGCTGTCCCGCCAACTGGAGGAGAAGGAGGCCCTTGTCTCCCAACTAACCAGGGGCAAGCAGTCATACACCCAGCAGATGGAGGACCTGAAGAGGCAACTGGAGGAGGAGATGAAGGTGAGGTTTGTGGGGTGGCTGAGAGGGTCTCCAGGAGGGTGACAAGACAAGGTGTCCTTCACCCTCATGGTGGTAGCACCAAAAAAAAGCAAGTTCAGGCTCGTTCAGTTGAGTGGTTCCATCTATGGTTCCATGGTTGAGTTGGGTTACATTTGTTCTGATAGCTGATAGGGTGGACTGAGCATGCCAATTGTGAGGCACCTGGGTTGGTCTATGGGTGGTTGGGTGCCATTGGACCAGGTAAAGTTGAACTGGGCCAAACTAGAGATACCCATCTTTAGATCTCTATGGGCCTAGAGGTGCTGAATTTGGTTGGGATGGTCTAGAGAAGGTTGGGCTGAGAAAAACCACTGCTTACACAGTTTGAGGACCTAGATGTAGCTTAAGCTCACTTTCTCCTCATTTCTCTCTCCCAGGCCAAGAATGCACTGGCCCACGCCCTCCAGTCGGCCCGGCATGACTGTGACCTGCTGCGGGAGCAATATGAGGAGGAGACAGAAGCCAAGGCTGAGCTCCAGCGCTCGCTCTCCAAGGCCAACTCTGAGGTGGCACAATGGAGGACCAAGTATGAGACAGATGCCATCCAGCGCACTGAGGAACTCGAGGAAGCCAAGTAAGTCATCCCCCCATGAAGGGAGCTTCTAGGGGGCAGGGGAGAGCAGAGACTCTTCCACTGGAGAAGGATCCGGAGAATGTAGAGGGACCTGGAGATAGCAGAGGAGATCCAGAGCAGAGCCTTGGCCAACTGATGGGTGGAAGAAGGTTTGAGTTGGTCCACTTGGTCCATGGGTCACCACAGCCAGGTTGTCCCCCGGGACAGGAAGAAGCTGGCCCAA